CCTCTTAATCTCCTTCACTGAACTTCTAATGAACTCATTACCTTGGAAACCAATCCTTTTCCGACTGCACAGAAAGGGCTCTATGAATACAATATTACTGTCCATTTTCAGATATTTTCTCAGAAGTGACACACGCAGAAAAGTATGCAGATCACCAATGGGCAGTAAAATGAGTTTCTAGAGAATGGACCTACCTGTGTAACTATCCCCCAACTCAAGCAAGGAAAGTCACCGTTATCACCCAAATTCCCTTTCCAGCACCCACCTGCTCTAATGTAATAACTACTGTCCTGACTTCGCAGAACACGGTTTGACTGGCTTTTGAAGCTCATGTAAATGGAATCATATAGTGTGTATTCCTTTGGACCCAGCTTCTTTGCCTCAACACTGTATTTACGACACTTGCTCAGGCTGCAGTACGCAGCAGTAGTTTGCAATATTCATTGCGACGTGGCTCAGATGATTGAAATACAACAATTTTTTATGTGCTTGGGTTATTTCTAATTTGGAGCATTGATGAACAGTGCCATACATGATGAACATACCATGCATATTTCTTAGTGCACATGCACACGTTTTTGTGGGTTGTGTACTCATGACATGCCTGGTTCACTGGTTATCCTTATTTTCAGCTTTAGTAGATATTGTGAAACAATTTTCCAAAGCTGTACTAATTTGCATGAGAATTCCACTTTCTCCACACCCTTCTCATACTCTACATAATGGATCCACTATGTCCAGGGAATTACAAAGTAGAGCGTGGAATTTTTGGAATTTTCTTTCAGAGCTAAGAAAGAAAATGGAAGAGATCTGCATTCTATGTAAATGCAATTCAAGGAAAAGAGAAAGTACAATTGGTCAAAGACGTTTGAGGAAATAAATAAAAAAATGGGTTTTTAAAAAACTCTTCTAGTGCTTTGCCACTCTATGGAGCATAAACGCAAGAATTTAGGATTAAAGACTTTCAGTTCATTTATTGTTTGGCCTCTTTGGATGAATCTCTTACTATGTTCCCAGGAAAAATGGAAGTTTGGTAGCGCAGCTGTAGTAGCTAGACATTGGTATGCTTTGCTGAGTTTTATTCAGAAAGAGTTCTTAAGTTTTTAGGTTCACTTAGCATTATGTCACCTAACTTCAAGGTCCTCAGGGAACAGAATGGCCTCTTGCCTTTTGCTTGGTGAGAAACCATCTTAACATGATTAAAATTTAATCCCCATTTCTGCAGCCCTTTCAAATTCATCAAACACCCAAACTTATTTACTTACTCTGGTAGTTCAGAATCAATTGCTTTAGTCTTGACCAAAATCCTCTTTTTTTTAATTAAAAGCACACGAACCAATTAGTGGATGAAGAGTCTGTGTTTTTCTTTCAGTGTGTACTGAGAACTGCTTCAAATAAGTTTTAGTTAAAAAAAAATTAAAGTCATTCTATGGAATTATAATGGCAGACTTAAGTAGTGTTCATTCTCTGAAGCATGTGGGGCAGGGGTAATTTTTGTCCCTCAGTAAGAAGCAAAGTAGAAAATCCTCTTCAGAGCAACCAGAGCACTGTAATCATCTGTCTGAAAACCATATTTATAATTTCAAGAAAAACATCAATAAATGAAGTAAAATCCAAACACTTTTTAAATGATATTGCAGACTAAACCATATACTTTATGATGTAGATAATTGTAGCTTTAGTCTCAAGTTATGTGATCTAAGGCATGACTAGAATAAAAGGCCAAAGCTGTAATATCTATCTTCATATTTTGAGGTTATGAGAAATTGAAATTTCTTATATATTTTTTCAAAATTTCTGTGATGGTAGTCATTACTTTATTATCCAAGAATCAATAAAGGTTATTTTTTAAAAAGCTCTAAAAATTGTGCATAGATTTTATATATATATATATATATATATATATATATATGTATATATGTATATATGTTACTCCAAAGGTTAATTATCTGTGTGTTGTGGAATTTTTTTCCTCCTCTTATTTTTCACTCATTTTTAGTTTTGTGTGTGTGAACGCACACACTTCCTTCTACCTGAGCAGAAGCTACCCAAAAGCCTGAAATGATATTTTTGGTGAGAAATCCTTCGCAGAAAAGATTACTATATTTCAGAATAAATCTAGCATATTTATAAATTTGATTATTAGAATGTTACTATTTTGACAGTACATTTGCCCGAGGATTTGAAAGTTTTCTGTGAAGCCAGGTTAGTTTGGAGTAAATCTCTTATCTCTCATTTTCTTTCTTGAAAAGGCAAATAGTATAATATCTGTCACCCATCTTTCCTTCCCGCTCCCTCCACACTTCCTAGCGTACACTATACAGAACAGGGCTTTACGTGGTTACACACACACACACACACACACAGATTTTGAATTTTACAAATAGTATATTGAATGACATGGGTTAATTCTATCAGGTTTCTTCTTCAAAATTCTAAGAAGAAATATCAGTGATGGGGAAGGTACTGCAATTTATTTCCAGTGGTGCTCACTGGTAATATAATACACTCACAGCCACAAAAAATTCAAATGCCTTCAAAGAAATCATACACTGATGACACCAGAAAAACACAAAAACTGATGACACCAGTAAAATGTGAATTTTTACTATAAGAACAAGAATAAACATTATATTTCAAAGAATGTATGTGGAAATGACCCCCATTTGTAGCTTCCAGTTGAGGCCAGAATTCTCTAGCTCACCCTTGACAATGGAAGTGTACCTCGGTTTTGATTCTGGCTTTGCCACTCACTTTTTGAACTGGAATCAGTTACTCAGCCTCAGTGTTCCCATCTGTAAAATGCAAACAACACCTATATCATACGGTTTATATATGGGTTGACTGAGATCATATATGTAAAATACTACAGTATAAAAACTCTATGAATGGTGGTTATTAATTTAAAGAACACCATTCTCTTTTTGAAGCTTATAGAAATCAAATTACTTCCATCTTCCTGATGAAATTGCCAGGATATAGTATGAACATCCCTTATTAACTTTAAAACAAGTAGTGGAAAATGGGGATTGTGAAGTAATACATGACATTTGCAGCCAATTAACAAAAAAGAAATACATCTTCTGATTTCAAATATCTTTGATCTTGGAGTTCTAGTGTGATGTATAAAAGGATTAGTTCATTAGTTTTTCATTATTTTTAATGCTATGTAAATGTAAAAATACAAGCGATTGCTATGATCACTTAAATACCATAAATTTTCCTTTAATTACAATAGTACATTTTATTTGTATGCTTAGCAATCGTGTGTGTGTGTGTGCATATGTGTAGTATTTGTTGTTTAATGAATAAAATGAAGATAAAACAGCAAGGCTCTGAATGACAGGCTGAATCCCAAACATAGAACATTCCCTTTTTGGCTTGCCATCTCTGTTTAGTGACAAGCAGAAAAAGAAGAAGAGAAGAGAGGAAAAAAATGAAAGTACACAAAATAACAGCTTGCAGCTACATAACACATGTGAGCCAACTCCAAGAACCAGTCCTGAGATTTGAGATGAACAGCAAACATTTTGAGGGTGAAATGCTTGTGTTGGGGGAATAAACCGTGGATCCAAACAACGTATCTAAGTGCCCTGCATGACAGTGAAATAGGTCAGTTTAGTCTCATGGTGCCCCTACTGTGGCCACTGAGAAAAACAGTCCTTACATTTTTATTTCATAAAAAGTTTTATTTAAAGTAAATAGCTGAAGTATGGTATAGTCAAAAAACTGGACACAAAGAATAGAGTGATGACGTCAGTGTTTTTCTGGTGTCATCAGTGTATGATTTCTTTGAAAGCATTTGAATTTTTTGTAGCTGTGAGTGTATTATATTACCAGTGAGCACCACTGGAAATAAATTGTAGTACCTTCCCCATCACTGATATTTCTTCTTAGAATTTTGAAGAAGAAACCTGATAGAATCAGCATATGTCATTCAATATACTATTTGTAAAATTCAAAATGTTTGTGTGTGTGTGTGTGTGTGTGTGTGTGTGTGTATGTACCCACGTAAAGCCCTGTTCTATATAGTGTATGCTAGGAAGTGTGGAGGGAGCGGAGAGGAAAGATGGGTGACAGATATTGTACTATTTGCCTTTTCAAGAAAGAAAATGAGAGATAAGAGATTTACTCCAAACTAACCTGGCTTCACAGAAGACTTTCAAATCCTCGGGCAAATGTACCATCAAAATAGTAACGTCCTAATCATCAAATGTATAAATATGCTAGATTTATTCTGAAATATAGTAATCTTTTCTGGGAAGGATTTCTCACCAAAAGTATCATTTCAGGCTTTTGGGTGGCTTCTGCTCAGGTAGAAGGAAATAACTAAAAGGTGGTCTGAACCACACTTTTTAGTCTAAACTAAAAAGTAGATTGTCTAGTTCATATTTCTTCAGTTTCAGACAAAACTGTATGTTCATTTGGGCCATACTTACAGTGTCTGATATGTGCCCCTAGACTTTGGAACTCAGTAGAATCATGACTGTGGATTCTTTAAAATACTGGATTTAAAATACTGGCTAGATGTGGTGGCGCATGCCTATAATCCCAGTACCCTGGGAGGCTGAGGCAGCGGGATCACAAATTTGAGCTCCTCCTGGGAAACTCAGTGACTTAGTGAGACCCTATTTCAAAATTTTAAAAATATAAGGGAATTGGAATGCAGCTCAGTGAGAACACCCCAGGTTCAATCCTTACTACAACAAAACAAACAAACAGACAAAAACTGAACTGTGTTTTCCTGTTGAGTCTACCCTCGGAATTTAGAAGTAAACCGGTGGTTTACGGAGTTAACTTGTGACTCTCTGAAAACAATATTGAAAATTGAAAATGTCACCATTTATTATTTGAGTGATACACTTATGTTACAATTAGAGTCTCTATGGTAGTGCTGATGTAAAAGTCAGTGCCTATAGGATTGTAAAACGAAAGATGTTAATAGTGTATTTTTAAAATTGCCTACCTTAAAAATATAAAACAAAGGAAAACTTCCATGCTCAATTTCATCTTTTTATAATTGATGTTAACTGATGTGCAGGAAAATATAATCCATTTCAAGTGTTCTTCATCAGTAAGGATTATGGTTTCTTTCTTTTTCTACCGTTTTTATAATTCAGTGAACACTGTGACACACTATAGTTTACACTGGCCCTCCATACCTGTGTGCACCCCTTTGCTCTCAGAGTGTCTTATTACCCAGGATATCTAGTAATATACACAATTTCTTTACAGCTTCAAGGGCTGGACTATAATTTCAACTCTTGCCTTATTTCTGTATGATGCAAAAAGTGAGAACTCAGGATCAGTTGAATGAGGCATAACCCATACCCCAGAACTCATTTGTTAGATGAGCTTGGGGGGTCATCTTTAAGGTTCAACTGTGAAATGAAGATACTACTTATCTCAAGGGATTTGTTGTAAGAATCCAGTAAAATAATTGCAATAAAGTACTTCAGCCTGTGCTCTGACACATGTGATGCACAATAAATATTAGTGAATATTTATTCATCATCGTTACCATCATCACAATGTGTCTCTCAAATGAAGAAATAATACTTACCTCCCTTAACTTGTCTAACATGATAAAGCAGCTTAAAATTACAAGCATATCCACCAAATATTTCAAATAATGAAATTATGACTATTTTCCTTTTTTTTTTTTTACCTTAGATTAAGCTTTTTGTTCACCTTCACTGTTTTCCCTCATGATCTACAAGCACTGATATCAATCTTACTATCAGCAGCAATGGAGGTTTACTTGCTCCCTGACAGGAAGGCAAATTTTTGCTTCTGGCTCTAAATCTCACTTTTGGCAGTAACAGTTTTCACTTGAAACTCTAAGGTTGCATTACAGAGAAAAAAACAACCCCCTCCCTTCCCTTGTCCAAGCAGTGACTTTAAAATACTTATTTTTGTTTTCGCCTCTGTTAGTGTAACCCAAAGTTCCTAGAATAATTTTGACATTTTCTGAGTATACTTGCACTAGACTTTGCATGTCACTTGGGCATCTGGTGAAGTCCTCCAAGTCCACGCTGATTCTTCCTGGGACTCAGGCCGGTCACTTCAAAAGTGATCTTTGCCAGGCTTTGAAAGAAATGGATAGCCAGGTGGGCAAATTTCTCTTAAAATAGTCCAAACTGTTTTCCTCCGTGTGTGACTTCTGTAAAGACAAAAATGTCCTTGTTATGGAAGACTGTACTCAAATTGTCTGTTTTACATATCCTATTTTTCCCCCAGGTACCACCCTTCCACAAACTGAGGCTCAAACAAGAATATTTCCTTTGTACACTCTATGCTAAATCCTTCACAGGAGGTTAACCCCACGGAAAGGTGCAACAGGTGGTTCCCCTGGGAGACAGACCACAATCACCAGCTAGGTCCAGAGGAAAAGCAAAATGATGTCTCAGGCTGTCTTCCAAATTCCAGCTTGGAGCAAAATGGTTTGCAATAGCTTGAGCGACAAGGTGCATGGGAATTGCTCATCTCTTAGCTTTCGGGCAATCCAGTGGATCTCAGGCCGGAATCAGGCATTTCCCAGCTGAGGTGAGCTAAACACAAAGCTGCCCCAGACTCTACTCAGCACGATTCCAGGAAGACTGAGGCAGACACCAAAGGAGGAAAAGAAGTTCACAACCGAAAGCTGAGATGTTTTTAACACAATGAGTGGAACCTCATCACCCACATGTCGTCCTCTCCCGGAAATGCCATTTCCTCTTCCAGGAAACAAAGGTGTGGAGAATTCTGAGCAGCAGTTGTGTGAATAAAACAGCCAGAGTGTATCTGTTAGAAAACAGAAAAATGGGGTAGTCTATGAAAGCAGAAGCTTAGTCCAGCAAGATGCTGGAGCCGAAAAGCGTAGAGGTTCCCACTCCACCCAACGTGTGCCAAAAGGAGTTCTGGACTTTCAGTTTTAAATGAAGTGTTAAGATTAAAAGTGTCATCCTTTTAAAACGTGATGACCATTGTTTTAAGATCCCCAGCCTTCAGATTAATGCATTTTCAACTGTAGGACTATCTGGTCATAGAGCAGTAGGGTAGCATCAGGCTTCAGACAGGAGATGACCAAAAGCGTGAGAAGCAGAAAATGAAGGGCAAGACTGTAAGAGTGGAGGTACTATGCTCCAGCACTCTAGCAAGCTTCTTTAAACTCAGTGGAGCTGAATCCTGGTTCTGCTTCTTTACTAGTTGTGAGATCTTGGACAAGCTACATGATTTTTCCAAACTGCGTTATATTCGTTTGTTAAATAGAGACGATGACAATGATGATGATGATGATGATGATGATGATAATGATGATGACACCTACCTCATAAGACTTATGAATATTCAACGAGTCCATCAAAAGTGTTCGTCACAATGCCTGGTATGTAAGTGGTTAGTATGTGGCCAACGTTATCATCATTTGAAACTTTAAAGCCACTTGGACCAAATAAATTAGCAGCATTCACCATATTTTTTATCACACTTCACAAAGCACTTGGGAAGAGGACTTCAGAACTGCTTCAGAAATTGGCAAAAATGGTGGAACACATGTGGTCGAAGCAAAGTGGACTGTCTGAAAGGGGGTTAATGACAAGGTGTCTTTTATTGTAATATTACTTCAATATTCACCATAGTTTCAAATAGCCCTTGCATGAATTTCTCCTTGAGCCCCTACACGTACTTAACTTCTTTCTCAGACTGTCAGTGGAAGTACCAGAAATGGAGAATAAGGAGTTTACGGTCTCCCGGGCACAGAAGCAGCAGTCAGTCTGCCATTTCTTCTCAGTGCAGCAGGGTCTAATGAAAGATCATCGGAGGAGACCGCCATGATGATGCCAGTGGTGGTGGCGATGGTCACGGTGTGACTCTGCCAGGTTGTCGCGCTGTCATGCTGAGCCAGCACCTTAACACCTCTGGGCTAGACTCTTCCAAGAAGCGCGGCCTTTGTACTGTAAGATCCTCACCTGTGCCGTTTACACGTGAACAAATGGAGAGGGCTTATTTTAGTGGAATAGAGCTTCATCCTTAACAGGCGTGTGTGGTAGCTTCTTGAGATTCATATCAACAAAAGAGACAAATATTTCTGAGTTTTTTTCATTTGAAAATGAAATTTGGAAGTGGCAGAACTCCGAGGTCCTCCGTGATGACATTCCATGCCTCCCGGACCAGAGCCTGCTAATCCAAGGTTTGGCTCTTTTGTACATTTCTAATCTCTTTTCAAAAAGAAGAAAGGAAAAAAGGCAGAAGAGGATGACTGTTTAATTTCACAGGCTAATCTGGTCTTAAGATTTATAGCAACAAAAGCGTTAATCAGGTGAATTTTAATCACTTGTGTCATCACTGAAAGGAAATCATTTTGTAACAGTACTGGTAACCAGACAATTTTCTAATCTCGACGAAAAATTAGCTCTGTGAAAAATAGGAAAAACCACGCCAACTATCCTCATTCTGATCATCACTAACTAGCATTACCAACAAGGCATTAGGAAGTCCGAAAAGGCCAAACGCGCTGCAACGACGTAATGGTGCAGCTTCAAGGCCTGCAAAGTTTAAAACACTTTAACTTTGGAAAATGTGTATAAATAACAAAGTGCACATTACAGGAAGGCAAAATAACAGGTAAGAATCTAGCAACCACTACGCTCAGGGCAAAGCTGGCGCAAATCTCTCGAGGTCGGCGTTTTGCAAAGAGCAACCTTTATCAGTCCGCCCGCGGCGAGCACGACCGCACGGAGCCAGCGTCGCGCGCAGGGGCCCGGCGCTTCCCGCCCAGGACCGGCGCGGGCTCTCAGGTCGGTGACGGGGACGACACGTGGTCTCGCCCCTCGCCTGGCGCTCGGGATGCGGCTGCGG